AGATTTGAGGTTCTTAGATTTGTGGTTTTGCATATTTATTTACCTAATATCAGGGGCGGAGCTAGGATTTTAAAATACCTGGAGCTAATGAAACTGCGATCTCCGCTTCTTTTTAGATTCAAATTCGGCGATTATAGTATCATTACTAATCTTTTCGACCAACTCCTTTTCAATGTAAATAACAATTAAACCCACCAAAAAATATTTTCCATCTTATTACGAAGAACTGTCTTAATAAGTTTCATAGTCGAAAACGCTCACTCTGTAGTTGCCGTAGGCACAGGAGAGTCAAAACAAGACGAATTAACCTGTCAAATAAATTAAATAAATTAGATCAAATAAAGAAATAGTTTTTCTTTTCTTCGTACTTTGACCCTCCATTATGATTGAAACCTATCAAGTTAACAAAAAATAGTAAATTAATCAAACATTTAGATGATATAAGCAATCTAAAAAATATAAAAAATAAAAAATAAATAGAAAAAGATAATCAAGAATGATTTGTCGGTTTTTGTACACAATCTTATTATAAAGGCCAAACAAGCATTCACACCTTTGAAAGCATTGAGTACATGATCAATAAGCATTAACACATATAATTAAACTAAAAAGATGTTCCCATCTCAACTTCAACATATAATTAAACTAAAAACATGTTCCCATCTCAACTTCAACATAAATTTTTAAAACTTGTGAGAAAACAAATATAGCCACAGCCATAGGCCCACAAGCCACAAATTGGGAGAAAAATATTTTTCAACTTTCAATTCACATTGGCAATACAAAGAGACAAACCAAATGACTGTCAATGACAAATTACAGAACAAAGATATAGACAGAAAAATTTGAACAACCAGTCACCAAATGCCAATTCACAAAATTCACGTCCGACACCAATTTAAATTCATACTCTCAATAAACCAAAAATAAAGGGCTCGGAGTCACTCTCGGACCCGCTCACTTGTTGGCTGCCGCCCGCGACTGCTCGATCCTCGAAGCCCGAAGGTGTCGCTTCCTCCGTTCTTCGCAATTGCCGCACCCGCACACCGATCTCGCAATCGTCGGCGCCGGATGAAAGATGTCCTGTTCACCTAGCAGAGGCTTGAAAGAACAAGGGTGAGAGTCGAGGGATTTGAAACTTGGAGATTACAGATTAACTGGGGCAATCAATTTAGAGCCCGTCGTCTATTTGGTGAGAAGAAAAGTGAGAGTTGTACCGATTCTAACAAGCCCAATAATGGATTTTAAATTATTTTGGGCTTTGTTGTTGTCTTGTTGGGCTAATTCAAGGGCTAACAAGAAATTTACTTGGGGCTATTTAACAATAATAATCAAATATGTAAATTTTTTTTCTTTTTTTTTTTTTTTGTTTTTTTTTTTTTTTTTGTTTTACCTGGGGCTGGAGCCCACCCTAGCCCATGGGTGGCTCCGCTAATATTGTGAGAGAGTAGTAACCAGCTCAGTTGGTTTGAGTTGGAGGATGGTAGTAGCCAGCAGGTGTCACCCCACAAACGATGTAGAAGAAGAAGAACACGATGATGGTAATCTAGTTCTAACTTGAGCATCCAATTGTTCCTGCCAAAAGTCCCACTCGAAAAGCAAGAAGTCAAGTTGATAGTGAGTTGCATTGCTTATCACGTGCCACTAAATAACATGCAAAAAAGTATATGTGGTATAGACTATGCCTAATGTTTGAATTTTTACTTCAAATCCACTTGAGCAAATAAATATAGCGGTGGATGTATTCAAACCATTACTTCGTTGTGTTCGTGGAAGAATAATAAGAGATAAGAAAAGGCAGGCGTGGGTGGGACCTTCTCCCCCAAACCCAAAGAACCTCTATGCAAAACAAAGGACAGATCCGTTAATTTTGTTGTCCCTCCTTCACCGACAACCTGCAACTGCGTCGTCGGGGCTGATTTCCACCGAGTCAGGGCTGGTAGACCTTTTTCCCGCTGTTTCTGTGGCCTCGCAAGGGTGTATGGCTCGGATTGGTGCCTGCAGATCTGCCATCTCCCTAGCCACGGAAGGGTCGTCGGTCATCCGTGTCAGGCCCCAGCCCCTGGAGTCCATCGAGTTGTCGGTGCGTTGGGGTTCGGGTTCTCTTTGTGTAGTGTTCAAGGGTGCGGCTCGACTGCGCGATTGGACCATTTTCGAGGTCTCCGGCGTAATTTTCGACGGCTTAGTGGCGGCTCCCCTTCTCCCCGGCATGGATGGTTTTTTGGAGTTCAGATCTGAATCGAGAGCAGACTCTTTATTAGACCTGACTAGGCGGCACGAGTGGCCGTAGTTTTCGGGCTTGAAGTTCCGGTTTGCGGCTTTGTTGGATCTCTATGCTAGTGGAAGTATCTCGTGTGCGGTCTCGGGTGGCCAAGAGTTAGGTCTGTTAGGTGTAAGGGAGGTTATGGTTCATTTTTATATTATGTGTGTGTTGTTTCTTTCTTTCTGCTTTTCGTTTATCAGTTCAATTTGTCTGGTTTATTTCTTTTATGGAGTTTTTTTTCTTTTGTGGAATTTAATTTTGGGTTTGAGGTTGCCTCCTTGTTGGAGTTGTACTTCTTGGATTTCTATGGAATTTCAAGAAGGTATGTCCAGTTATCTGGATCCTTGTTGTCAGTTGATATCTCCTCTGTAATCTTTCTGGGCTTTCTATTTATTTAAGTATTTAACGTTTGGAAAAAAAAGATGTATTCAAACTATTGACAAATTATATTTATCTCAAATAACACTTTCTATTTATTTAAGTATTTAACGTTTGGAAAAAAAGGATGTATTCAAACTATTGACAAATTATATTTATCTCAAATAACACTTTCTATTTATTTAAGTATTTAACGTTTGAAAAAAAAAAGGATGTATTCAAACCATTGACAAATTATATTTATCTCAAATAAGTATTTAACGTTTGGAAAAAAAAAAGGTGTATTCAAATCATTGACAAATTATATTTATCTCAAATAACACCAGAAATTCTATGGCGCCCATATGGGCGCCATAAGCCATGCCACAATCTTATGTGTCATATGAAGTGACTTTAATAATTTTAATTGTAATATTCAACATGGCATGAGGTGGCTGTAAACAAGATTTTCCAACCCAAAATCAAATTCCCTTTGTCCTATACTATGTTCACCAGACAAAAATAAGATTTTCCAGACATTCATATAAGCATTGTGTTAATACTTCATCATACATATTCAAGCATTGTGTTAATACTGTGTTCACCAGACATTCATAATTAAATGTATCAGTAACAGAAATGAAATAACAAAGAGTTATATTTTTAGAACAAAAAATTGAAATAACCCAGTCGTGCTTCTCGTAATCAAACAAAAGCATCTCATAGATATGTATATTATACAATCTCCATTCTCTTACAACCTCAAAAACAAAACACTCACACACACAAAACCTTAATTACCATAGTAACTAAAAGACTCATAACCATCACCATAACAACTCTACTAAAAAAACACCAAAAGCAACAATAAAAACCAACATCTGATAAAATCATTTCCCTTTCTTTTTCCAGATTCATTACCAGAAAAATTACATATAACCCGACCCCGGCAGGTACGTCGGAGGAAATTCCGGCCACTCGCGTTCCCGGCATATTCATTTGCTCCGACTGTAGCCCCTACCCAACCGGGGGGCATTGGCCGACGGCGGCGGCCCGCCGATTTGCCCTGCGGGTGTCAAATGGGACATTACGGAGGGTGTTGCCTTGTCCAGAGGGAGGAATAGGAGTCAACGGCACTTTTCCACGCGTTGGGGACCAGAGGCAGTGGTTGATTTGGGGACAAAGGGTTTTTAATTTCTGAAATTATTGTTTGAGGTTGCAGGTGGATTTGGGGACGAAGGGATTTTGATTTTAGGTGAAAAATCTTGTTTAAAGCCACATCATGCCAAGTTGGATATTACAATTAAAATTATTAAAACCACATCATATGACACATAAGATTGTGGCATTGCTTATGGCGCCCTTATGGGCGCCATAGAATTTCTGAAAATAACACACCACACAATGTGAAATCAGGAACCGGACAACGATATGGAATTAATAACCCGACAACTACTACTAAAAAACAATAAGTGTCAAATACGGTTTGTTATACTTTCGAATGAAATCGAATGCCTGCCCACTAAAGCATATTTTCTCAATGCAAGTCCCAATCCCCTATTTCCTGGTCATTTGCACATGGAAGTACCATTACAATTTACAAGTGCTTTTGTTTGAAAGGGAAGACTGAAATCCCGAAACAATGCACATATTCATCTATAGGGCTTGCTAACCTTCCTTCCCTTTTATGTTGCTTTTTTTATCACTAATAATAATATTTTAAAATCCAAAGGAGACAATTGCGTCCTTTTTTTTTCTGGAAGATTTTATTGGCTAATGAAAGCAAATGGCATACCAAGCCTGCAGAGTCTGCAACTCCAGGCATATACAAGGACATCTCCAATGACTCAATGACTATTTTGAGATGTATGGTGTGGTGAAAAGAACAAAAAATATTTTGTCTCCAATGCTTCTCAATTATGTTATAATTTGACACATGTAATATAATAATTGGTTGGTAGAAACATAAATATAAAATAAATAATATAATATAAAATGGAAGATATATAGAACTCTTTCTATTGAATTTTGGAGGCTAGGTGGCAATGGAAGAGAGCAATCTATGTACCATTAGAGATGCTCTAACAATTCAGAGCAGAACTTGAGTCCTCAAAGACACAGCCAAAAGCTCATCTCAAAAACAAAATTATAGCATACTCTCACAAAACTCTTATTTCAAGAACAAATCATACATCTGTATACTGGTACAAAACATTACACGCCTATCCACAATCATGAATCAACTTCCTCAAATAACTTAACACATGTCCTCATCATGTCATCACCAAATGACCAACTCTAACTTACAGTACATCAATCGATTAACAAATTGCCCAACAAAAGAATTGAAAGTAAAAAATAATTATGATGTACTTATAATTCATCTCCATTTGATTCCACCTTGTTGCTCCTTAACTCTCCTCAAAAATCCCTCCACAGCCACATCAAAAGCATCATCGACACCCTCGATCCCTTTATTCGAGTACGCATACACGATCTTCGGTATATATTCGATCACTTTCTCCCTCATCCTCTTCACCTCATCCTTACCAATCTTCTCGAGCACGCCCTTAATGGAGGTCCCGTTTCTCACCGCTTTCCGGTCTATGAAAACCGAGTAGCTCCCCCTATCGCTCGGCAAAAACCACTCGTACTGCAAGTAAGCAGTCCTCTGCCAGAAGAAAACGGGGACTGACCCAGCTAGCATACAGTCAAAAATCGAGCGCCTGGTCAAGCTGTCCCCTCTCGGCTGCAGGCAGAAATCGGAGTCGAGAAAGGTCTCCAAGATCTCGGAGGTCCCATTTTCGCACTTCTTCCCTCCACAGCCCACGACCCGGCAAGAACCCGGTTCGGAGTAGCACTGCTCCAGCAGGATCCCCCTGAAGTCGTTCTTTATGAACCCACGCGTGGACCCCGCGAAGCAGAAGAGCGTGCGCCGCTGGCGGCGGCGGGTGAAGTCCTGCCAGATCTGGAGGTCGGCGGCGGATCTGGGGTGGAAGCCAGAGGGGTAGGGGACGGCGACGTCCATGGAGTCCCAGGGGTCCCTTTCGATGAGGAGGCGCGTGATGTTGTGCATCGTTGGCATGTAGATGCAGCTGGAGCCCCAGTCGGAGATCTCGTTACGCCGGAAGTCCCACGTGATCCGGCCGACGGTGAAGAAGTGGTCCCACCCGCCGGATCTAGCGAAGTGTGGCTGGCGGGACACCCAGTCGAGCATCCTCTGGCAGTCGCGGTCGAGATCCTCCTCGGTCGAGTTCTTGTTGAAGAGGTACTTCTCGACGGCGAGGCCGGTGTAGTAGGGGATGAAGAACGCGGCGGCGGAATCAGGCTCCGCCGTCCGGCAGCGGTAGTTGAGCATGCGGTTGTGGAAGATGACCTCGAGGGAGAACTGGTCGGTCCAGTACCACGCGCCGGCGACGCTATCCGGGATGATCCGCGAGATCCCGTCGGCGGGTCGCCCGAACCCGGAATTAGATAAGGTAACGCAGCGGGAAGACCAAGGGTTGAGGCTTTCGCAGTTTTTCAGGATGTCGGCGTTGAAAATAGGCGGCAGGTCGTAGACGTATACCTGTCCGTAGGGGCAATCGCCGTCGCTAATTGCTCTATTGGGGGTCGATTCGTCAGCGGGAGGGTTTCCTACGG